CCTCGATAAAAAAAACTGAGATGTGACATTTTCATCAATTCTCATTAATCTTTTACAAATTGGGAGAAAAATTTGTAAAGGATTAGTGAAGACGATAAAACAGTGCTATCAATGGTTATTTTACACAAAAGTGTTGTAAATGGGTGTATAAAAAGTAGTCAGTAAGTAAAAAATATAGCAAGAATATTTTTTTAAGAAATTCCATTGGATTATAAAAAATGCTTAGATATAGACAAAATATATTTAAATTTCTTATTACATTAAATTTTTCGTTATTATTTCTCTTTATAGAATCATCGAAAATGTATCTTATTAAAAAGGGTTTTTAAAATAAAAAATTTATGGAAAATTCTATTAACGAGAAATTTTAGAAACCTTTTTTAGTTTATATAAAATTTATTTGTTTTTATTTTTGGAGCATTTTTTTAAATTTATTATTTTGGATCATTTTGTCCGGTCACCCTTACTTAGATACACTGCATTATCGATTTCATATTTAGGTGAAGTTCAAACATTTTGACAGTTGTTCGGCAGAAAACTGCGCCATTCAAAACTAAAAACGTCGTTGAAATTTCAAGTTTTACTGGCGGTTTTCAATCAATAAGAAGAAAACAATTTTCAATTAAAAATTAAAATATTTCATTCAAAATTTTAAAAAACCATATGAAATTACAAAGAAAAATATCTTTCAATAACTATCAATTATAATAAATATAACTTAAACAATAAATTTATACTGCAACGGCGTCTCACAAAATTAAACGACGGCTGCAGTCATACTCTTAAGAGTTCAGCGACACGGGACTCTACCTACGGTTCGCAATTTTCTTTACAAAATTTCATTTCTTGGCTTTTCCTCTTTCCGTATTTCAACGAATTATAAAAGAAATTTATTAAAAAAATATAATATATATAATAAATAAAAGTCCATGAATTAAGCAGTAAACAATTAATAGCTTAAAATATATAAAAATAATTATATAAATAAAACAAAAAGGAAAATTTGTCAGAAATAAATAAAAATAAGGAAAACTAAAGTGACCACCCACTAACCACCAAGACTATTTAAAGTGTAGAGAAGTTATTAAAGCACATTTTTAAATGTTAACAATACTACTACGTAATACCGTCCTTAATGTACGACACAGGACAGCAAGAACACTCTTCAGTGGCCAGGATGATGTTAAACGTAATTTTTTCAGCTCCCTACAGAGGCAGGCACAACTGCCACAATTATCGCCATATGATGTGAGTCCCTAAACATTGAGATACTATTTTTGTATTTGATAACCATTTGCATTCTATTTTTAAAAGGTTAATATGATTCTAAGAGAAAATGAATTCATGTATGCCATTCCGGAGGACCAGAACAGTACCATACACAGCTATGAATCCAATCAAGTAGCATCCAATAAGCCCTGTGAAGATTGTCGTACCGAAGGCAGTTTTTTACATAAAAAAGGTGAGCTAATCAATAAAGTTCGACAACTTCTAATAAATTTTCTTTTAAAGGTTTCATTTGTGGTATTTTCGATGGTCATGGTGGTCCCGCCTGCTCTCAAGTTATTTCGAAACGTTTACTGCGTTATATAGCCGCTTCCTTGGTTGACCGTAAAATCCTAAAAGAACAAATTGATAAGGGGTGCAATAGTCAGTCGTTTTTAAAGTGTCACAACGACAATGTGGGTGAAAGATTTTAAAAGTTTTAATTAGTTTTAGAATGTCCTAACAGATTTTCTATTTTTAGGTGGATTTTGTTAAAGAAATCAAGGATATTTATGAACAAAGCTTTAGCAAATACATTAAAACCTTATCTAGTCAAGAATTACCAGATATTGCCACAACTATGGAACATGCATTTCTTTCATTGGACAATGATTTATCGGAAGAGGCCTTAAATAATACAAATATGAGAACAATGGCGGTAGCGATGTCAGGTAAATGAAAAACAAACTTGTAAAATTGTATTTTTATATTGAAATTTTTTGAAAATATTTCTTTTATATAGAAAATGTTCGAAAATTTTCTATAAAAAGAGAAATTTTTCCAACATTTTCCTTTTTTTACAGAAAATTTTCGAACATTTCTCTTAAAAAAAATCTTAAAAATTCCTCTCACCCCAGGTGCCGTTGCTTGTGTTGCCCATATCGAAGGCCTTGATATACATTTAGCTAGTACCGGTGATTGTACGGCAGTCTTGGGCTCAGTATGCCCTGAAACCGGCAAATGGTCATCGAAAAAACTTAATCAGGAACATAACTACGACAATCACCAAGAAGTACAACGAATATTAATGGAACATCCCAAAGAGGAACACGATACAGCTATAAGAAATGAACGTTTACTCAGTCAATTGGCTCCATTGCGTGCAATGGGAGATTTCCGTTATAAATGGTCAAATGAAATAATGGAAAAATATGTAGTACCTGTCTTTGGCGAACATGCTGTACCGCCACACTATTATACACCACCCTATCTATCAGCAAAACCTGATGTTGAACATCATCGTTTAACCGTCAATGATAAATTCCTAGTAATAGGCAGTGATGGCCTATGGGATTTTCTATCACCTACACAAGTCGTACAATTGGTGGGTGAACATTTAAATTCGAAAAAATCTCTAGAGCCCATTAAATTGCCTGATGGAGATGTTACCTTACAGGCCATCTCTGATATATTAGCAGAAAGAAAGTAAGTGGTTTGAATATTTATTATTAATAAACGAGAAATTTAATGTATTTATTATTATTATTATTGCAGAGCTGGCCGCACCCGCAAACCTTCAGATCAAAACTCTGCCACTCATTTGATACGTCATGCCTTGGGCGGTACTGAATATGGCATTGAACATTCGAAAATCGCTTACTATTTATCACTACCTCAAGATGTTGTACGTCTATATCGTGATGATATTACTATAACTGTAATTTACTTTAATACAGATCGTATTAATGCATTAACCAATCAAACTACATAATGTGTCTTTGTTTTTAAATTTAAATGTCTCTGCGAGAATTAACAAACTAAATTGTATTTTTTTTTTTTTTTACTATAAATTTGGCATTAATTGGTATTTCTTTTTAATATTATTTTAAGGCTATATTTTATAAATGTATATATTTATAGTTCAATTGTTATTATTATTTTTATTTTAAACAAGTTTTGTGTTCATTTAATTTAAAACGACATCAAGTGTTCCCAAATTAATACCTGCATTAATTTATCATTATTTTCCTTCTTTTGCTTATGATTTTTTTAAGCAAGTTTGTTTTTAATTTTAGCTTTAAAACATAAGCCGCGGTTAGTTTTGAAATGTGTTCCTTTTTTATACATCTTACAAAAATCCCACACATTTTTGCACTAACATCACACACACACACAAAAGATTTATTATATTTTGTTTATTGTCAATTGCCAAAATAAGAAAATAAATAAGTAAACAAAATGTCCTGAACAAAAAGCTATTTAAATGATAAATAGCAAAGAATAATAATGTTGTTTTTATTTCTTTATGTTATACGTATAGAAAAAAGATCGCTGATCAAGTGTTTCTATAAGAAAATGTTTGCTGGTATGGTGATGATCTTAAAAGAAAGTCTTTACACAAAACGTTCGAAAAATTTCCTATTTTCTAGAGAATTTTCTATAAATCCTCTTTATAAAGTATTTTTGGAATTTTTAGAAAAATTTAGATATTTCGAAATTTTTCTGTTTCTTAGAAAATTTTCGAAATTTTCTCTCTTTTTTAGAAAATTTTCGAAATTTTCTCTCTTTTTTAGAAAATTTTCGAAATTTTCTCTCTTTTTTAGAAAATTTTCGAAATTTTCTCTCCTTTTTAGAAAATTTTCGAAATTTTCTCTCCTTTTTAGATAATTTTCGAAATTTTCTCTCTTTTTTAGAAAATTTTCGAAATTTTCTCTCTTTTTTAGAAAATTTTCGAAATTTTCTCTCTTTTTTAGAAAATTTTCTCTCTTTTTTAGAAAATTTTCGAAATTTTCTCTTTTTTTAGAAAATTTTCTCTTTTTAGAAAATTTTCGAAATTTTCTCTCTTTTTTAGAAAATTTTCGAAATTTTCTCTCTTTTTTAGAAAATTTTCGAAATTTTCTCTCTTTTTTAGAAAATTTTCGAAATTTTCTCTCTTTTTTAGAAAATTTTCGAAATTTTCTCTCTTTTTTTTAGAAAATTTTCGAAATTTTCTCTCTTTTTTTAGAAAATTTTCGAAATTTTCTCTCTTTTTTTAGAAAATTTTCGAAATTTTCTGTCTTTTTTTAGAAAATTTTCGAAATTTTCTCTCTTTTTTAGAAAATTTTCTCTTTTTTAGAAAATTTTCGAAATTTTCTCTTTTTAGAAAATTTTCGAAATTTTCTCTCTTTTTAGAAAATTTTCGAAATTTTCTCTCTTTTTTAGAAAATTTTCGAAATTTTCTCTCTTTTTTAGAAAATTTTCGAAATTTTCTCTCTTTTTTAGAAAATTTTCGAAATTTTCTCTCTTTTTTAGAAAATTTTCGAAATTTTCTCTCTTTTTTAGAAAATTTTCGAAATTTTCTCTCTTTTTTAGAAAATTTTCGAAATTTTCTCTCTTTTTTAGAAAATTTTCGAAATTTTCTCTCTTTTTTAGAAAATTTTCGAAATTTTCTCTCTTTTTTAGAAAATTTTCGAAATTTTCTCTCTTTTTTAGAAAATTTTCGAAATTTTCTCTCTTTTTAGAAAATTTTCGAAATTTTCTCTCTTTTTTAGAAAATTTTCGAAATTTTCTCTCTTTTTTAGAAAACTTTCAAAATTTTCTGTCTTTTTCGAAATTTTCTCTCTTTTTTTTTAGAAAATTTTCGAAATGTTCTCTCCTTTTTTTAGAAATCTTCTCTTAATTTATTTGTGATATTTTCATTTATTTTTTTTTATACATTTACAGCTAAAAATATTTAAATTTATTTAATGAAACATAAAAATGTTGATACTTAAATTTCAATATATTTTTTTAAATGTAATTAATTATATCAATAATTATTTCTCTTTAAACTTTCATTTTCTTTTTAACGAAACCTTGTTTTTTTTATATAGAAAATAAATCTAATAAAAAACTACCTAATGAATAGAATTATGCTGTTGTTGCTGCTGCTGCTGCTGAGCTTTCTGGGCATGTTCCGCCTCTCGTCGCAAAACACAATTAAGAAATTCCACTTGTATGGAAGTGATTTCTTCGGGGGGAAAACGTTGTATTTTCTTTTTAAGAAAATCGAAAAATAAATCACATTCTTCTCGTTGATGATTGCAAATCATGTTTGCTGTTGCTACTGCGGACGACATTGCCGCTGAAGTGGAGGGTGTGGTGGTATTTGCGTAGGTTGGTTGCATTTGTTGGGAATTTGTGTTAACCGAGTTGAGCAACGAGTTGTTGGCATCATGTTTCGTCTCAGGGGGGGTGCTGGTGGCTGTTGTGGGGGAGGCTGTTAATTCTGGCAGATTGTGTATGTGTACTGAAGGTGAAGCGATGGTGGTCGAATCTAAGGTGGTAGAAGATGTAGAAGCCATAGCCGTGCTGGAGGAACTGACGGTGGGTAAGTTCTTTAGTTTTATGGTACCCGTTGATCCTCCAATAACACTGCCCGAATTATTATTGCTGTTGTATTGAGATCTTGTGGGATTTAGGGTGGTATACATATATGTGGCAGACGTACTGGCCGTTGTGGCCGGCGGAGGTATCGCTGGCGAGGGTGTCAACTCGGGTAGAGTTTGTAAATGTACCGAAGGAGAGGCAATTCCTACACACGAGGCCGTCGAGTCGAGGGTAGAGGATGCTGTGGATGTAGTCGTAGAACTCACCATGGGTAAGGCTTTCAATTTAATTGTACCCGTGGCACCAATAACACTACTAGCACTACTTGAATATTGTGATGTTGTGGGATTCATAGACGCTATACAGAAATCATTTGCATCGATATATTGAAATTTTGTATCATCCGAATTGGCAGAATTTGTACCAGCTCCCGCTCCAATAATTGTCTCACAATCCACACTCGGCGTATTGCCCGATTCTTCGTACAGACACACCTCCTCATAGTCCACATCACCGCCCGTATTGCCATCATCATCCAGCGTCACATGTTGTTCATGCTTCACAATCTCAACACAATCTTCCATGCTGTTATTGTCATGATTCAATTCACTGTGAGACACCATATTGGGATCCTCATGTGAGACATCGTTGTCATGTGTTACATCCTCGTATGTAGTCAAAATAAATGTGTCCGCATCATTGACTGAAATAATATTTGAATGTACCATATCCTGCGGCACAACATGATCATGTTCGTCGGTACTCTCCGAAACACTGTGCAGTAGATTATCTTGCGGTGCGGTACTGTTGTAGTTTTGTGTACGATTCGATTTTAGTTTCGGTTGATAGACATTCGATAGAAATTCCATATCCTTGGCGTAACGCCATTTCGAGAGACCATCACTCATTTTAGGTTTACGCAAACGATATTGATGATATGTATCGCGTAGATTTTTCCATTTGCGTCGACATTCCTCAACGGTGTATTTGTCTAGAAGAAGTTTAAATATCCGATATTTAAAAAAATAAAGAAATATGAAAAAGGGAAATTTCCCATAAAAAATATATATTTTCGAATATTTCCTATAAAAAATGACAAATTTATGAAAATTTCTCTAAAAAAATATAAATTTTCAAAAATTTCCTATAAAAAAGAGAAAGGATATTTTTTGCCGAAGGGAATTTTTTTCTAATTTTTGTTAAGAATTAATTTCTACTGAGAGATTGATAATAAAAATCATTAAAATTTAAAATTCTCCTAAAGGGAAATTTTTTAATTAAGGGAAATTTAATCAAAAAAATATTTTTTCGCATTATCGTGAAAAACTAATAAATACTATGCAGAAATCTTTAAAAATAGCCTTTTAATAAAAATTTCCCTTGAGGGGAAATTTTTTTATTCAAGGGAAATTTTGAAAATTATTTAAAATTTTATTTTTTCATTAATTTTTCCCTTGAAAAATTATAAATTTTTCGAAAAATTCCTTAAAACAAAAATTTCCCTAGAAGGGAAATTTTATTGTGCAAGGGAAATTTACAAAATTTTATAAAATTTCCGTTTAAAGTTAATTTCTAATGATAAATATGTAAAATTTTGTATGACAAATCGTTAAAATTAAAAATTCTTCTAAAGGGAAATTTTAACAAAAAATACTTTTTAGGAATTTTCTTCAAAAACTCATAAATAATATGCAAAAATTTCTGAAAATAGCTTTTTAATAAAAATTTCCATAGAGAGGAAATTTTTTTGTTCTAGGGAAATTTTGAAAATTATTTAAATTTTAATTTTAGTGAGTGAAACTAACCATACATATATGTATTATGATTTTGTTAAATATCACTTTAATAAATTTCCCTTTAAGGGAAATTTTATTTTAAAAGCGAAATTTTAAAATGTTTATTTTAAATTATTTCGGCTTTAAAAATTTTAAAATTTTTAGAAAAATTTCTTTAAAAATTTCTTTAAAAATTTTCTTATAACGTTTTAACATAAAATTGTGAAAGAAATACATAGAGATATACATCCGGAGTATAACAGTTATTGAATTATTGAGGATAATTGCAATTTGTTTTTTTTTTTGTTATGCCACATCAACGAATACAAAGTTCTACAAAAAAAAAACCATAGCAACTAGTTGTATATACACTTACTTCCTATGGCCGCTGCTATCTCCGCCCAACCATTTAAAATATCTATACGCCTGCGTTGATTCGGCTGTAATTTATAATTATACAATGTGGGATTTTGCCGGACCAAATGTATCAAGGTTAGAATATCATCTGTGGGAGCCAAGTCCTTTTGATAACGTCTTCTCTCTGATGGGAAAACAAATATCATAATTTATAAACATTTCCCCCATTTTTTGCAAATTTTACATACTTTGTGTATTATTTTCCATTTTTATTTAGTTTTATTAAAAGATATTTAATTGTTTGCAATTGCTTTTAGCCAATTTTAATCCTTATTTAGCAATAATTTACGAGTAACTCGTTTCTTCTGCTACTACTGCTGTAGTTGTGGTCGTCATCATCATCGAATGAATTATTTTTTCGCTGCTCTTTAGATTTCCCAAGAAAAAAATTTACAATTGCTACGAGTTATTTTATTTCCGTTCGTTTATTTTTTTTTAAATTTATTAACGGTTTTGTAGTAAATATTTTTAGTTTAATATTTTGTTTATAATTTTTAAGCAAATTTAAAACTTTTAGAGCACTTTTAAAGTAAATATTTTAATTTTTTCTATAAAAAAAAACACACTTTACTACCTGAAAAATTCAAGAAATCTATTGAAGAGTAGAGTGTTTTTGAGTACTGACAGCTGTGAGAGTGTCAAAGAGTTAAAGAGATGCCAGATGATTTACAATATATAATAACAATAATAACAAATTGTTAAAAATATCTAAATATAAAAAAAATTTGTATAATTTATTAAATATTTAGATTAATATTATTATATTTTTTCATTAAAAAGTGTTTTATAAAAATATAATAGAGTTTTACTGTTAACCACTGTATTAATGATAAGGCAGTGTTTTATACATTAAAAGAATATGGCAGTTTTATTGTAAACATCTTTTTGACATTTACATTTTGTTAGAAGAAGAAAAAAAAACATAAACATACGCCAAGACGTATGTTTTTAAGGAATATTTTTTTTACTTTTCGAAAAATTGTAATAATTTAGCAGGAAAATTAATAAAAATATAATAGAAAACCTAAATATGGCACAACCTCCACCCAAATTTACTGGCACTGGTCTGGAAGAGGTAAATATACCGGGTCAGGCTTATTTAAGAGAGGCTCTTACCTCTTGCACAGATCCCTTAAAGGCTATAGAAAGTTTTCAGGTGAGTTTTGTTATTATTTTTTTTTTATATTTCATGAAAAATATATATTATTATCCTTGGGCTTTAGCTAGAAAATGGTGTTTTATTGCCCTCTTTACGTCCCATGTTGCCTTTGCTGGATTTGCATGGTGTGCGTCGTCTTGATTTTCACACCTCTCTTATGGAGGAATTAAGGGATAAACTTATAGCTCATATCAACGAGTTGGGTCAGAAAGATCCCCGGGAGCGTGATAAGAAACTGAAAGAACTCTTAATAAAAAGTTTCCCTGTGGTGCGTGTTAAGGCTTTGCGTCCCGTAGTAATGGCCATTTTGCGCAACACTCCCCATATAGACGATAAGTATTTGCGTATATTAGTAAGAGATCGTGAGCTATATGCTGACACCGATACTGAGGTGAAAAGACAAATATGGCGTGATAATCAATCGCTGTTTGGTGATGAAGTTTCACCCTTACTCTCGCAGTATATACGGGAAAAGGAGCATATTTTGTTTGATCACACTAACCTAAATAATCTCTTCTTTCATCCTTCGCCCAAGGTAAGGCGTCAGGGTGAGGTGGTGCAAAAATTAGCCAATATGATTGGTACCAGTGTAAAGCTGTACGATATGGTATTGCAATTTTTGCGTACTCTGTTCTTAAGGACACGCAATGTTCACTATTGCACCTTGAGGGCTGAGCTGCTAATGGCTTTGCATGATTTGGAAGTTCAAGAGATTATTTCAGTCGATCCTTGTCATAAGTTCACCTGGTGTTTGGATGCCTGTATTAGAGAGAAAAATGTTGATATCAAAAGATCTAGGGAGTTGCAAGGTTTTTTGGATAATATCAAACGTGGTCAGGAACAGGTTTTGGGTGATCTCTCCATGACTTTGTGTGATCCTTATGCTATTAATTTTCTAGCCACTTCGGCCATAAAAATACTACAGCACTTGATCAACAATGAAAGTTTGCCACGAGACAACACTATTCTCATTTTGTTGTTGCGCATGTTGGCTTTAGGTCTCAGTGCCTGGGTTATGATAGATTCACAAGATTTCAAGGAACCTAAGCTCGACTCACAAGTTGTAACGAAATTTCTACCGGCTCTTATGTCTCTGATGGTGGATGATCAGTGCCGCAGTTTACATTCCAAATTACCACCCGATGAACGTGAATCGGCTTTGACAACTATAGAGCATTCGGGTCCGGCTCCCGATGCTGTAGAAGCATATATACAGGAGAGTTCAGTGGCCAGTATTTTAGCCATGTATTATACTTTAAATACGGCTCGACAGAAGGATCGTGTGGGTGTTTTGCGGGTTTTGGCTATATTGTCGTCGTGTAAAGATGATCGCGCCTACGAAGATCCTTTTCTACATTCATTGGTAAGTAAAATTTAAATCATTGTAAAAGTTTAGCTTATAAAATTTTTGGATTTTCTCTTCTAAAGATTGCTTTATTGATACCCATGGCCGAGGAATTTACCACAGAAGATTTTTGCACCACATTATTTGATGAATTTCTATTCGCCGGCTTGACCAGAGACAATGTAACGAGACACATGATTAAATTATTATGGTATGATATAACGAATATATTTCAATTTCTTAACTATTTAAAAATACACCATTTTTTTTTCTCCTCTGTTAGGTATGTTCACAACAAGTTGCCACCAGGTCGTTTGCAATCGCTCATGAAGGCCATGCAACCCACAACGGGCCACAATGAAACCGTACACAAACTCTATGAAACACTGCAAGAACGCATAGGTACTTCGCTTCAGGAATGCCCTGTACCAGAGCCTACAGAGACAGATTTTGATTCACCTTTAAAAAGTGTACCTACACCTGGACCTCATTATATGCAATAAAATGTGCGTTGAAAACTTTTAAACCTTTTTGAAATAAAGTAAATAAGAAAAACCTAAATAGTATTCTTTGTTGCTAAGAAGCCTTGTCTTTTTCCAGATTTACAAGCTCTATCGATATAAAATCATCGTGTAACTTTCGCTTTCAATATAAGTTTTATTTAAATTGTTTTTATCTTTAAATTACATATAAATATTACTTAATATATACATAAATAATGAATGAAAAAGGTAGAGCAAAATATATAATAAAACGTACAATATGAACGAAAACTTATTAAGGGAAAAATTACACAAATAATATTGGCTTAATTTGGAATCCATCAGTTCTAAATCCAAAGTAAAGTTTCTTGTTAAGTTGAAAAGCTTGTGGCTTAATAAATTACCTTAAACCATCATTATAAATTGATAAATGTTTTTTTTTTTCAAAAATAGGAATAAACAAACTATATTTTTATAGCTGATGTATTTAATTATTTTTTTTTCCTTTCATATAACTAAACTTAAAAGAAATGAAAATAAGAGTAGGAGAGAAGGACTAATCTATAATCTACAATAATAATTTTAATTTCATTAAATATTTATATAGATTTTACAGTATTAATAATACAACAAAACATATTTTCGGTTTAGTTTTTCCGTTTTTTTTTTTTTTGTTTCTGAAAATAACTTCTTAAAAAATACCTAAAAAAGATAAATAAGCATAAATTTAATTGAATGAAATAGCTTAGCTGTAATAAATAAAATTAATTTCATGTTTAAACGACGACGAGTAGTGATTAATTATGAGAAGAACTATTATTCTGCTGGGCAGAACATTTTGGCGAGCGTGTGTTTGTGTGTGAACAAGTTGTTGTTGGTTGTAACATTAAGTAATATCCATACGAGTTTCTAATTTGGCACAATTCAAACTAGAATTGGAGGAGGAGGTGGTGGCAGCTGCAGCATCTTCTTCCGTGGTTTTTGTTGTTAAAGTGGGAGATTTCTCTTTTTCAGTTTGTTGTAAAATTTGTTGCTCCTGTTGTTGTTGTTCTTGTTGTTGTTTTTTAAGCTTAGCTTGCCGACGTTGTTTTAAATGTTGATATAATTCATTGTATTCCATATAAATGCGCTGCCATTTAATATGGACTTTAAGTTGTTCCAAAACCAAATCCAAGATTTCATGTTTGGGTATATTCTTTAAGGCGAAAGAAGAATAAATATAATTCATTCCAATATAGTTCTGTAGCTTCTACTTACCAATATGTATTCATTTTGTGAGCTTATACTTCTAGTCCCGGTTCCCAAGAGATCGTTGAGTAGTAGACGCAGTTTATTTTCATTATTACCAATAGCCAAATGAAATGCTAACATGGTGTACCAGTACTTGAGTTCCTCTGCGGAATTTATGGCTTCACAAAGTTTAATTTGATTTTCGATGAATGATATTTTAGCAACCGATTGCCAGTCGTTGGCATTTCTAAAAGAATATTAAAAAGAAGAGACAATTTTATGGAAAATTCCAATTATTCAACAGAAAAGCTTTTCTATAAAAAGTTTTCCTATCAAAAGCTTTTTTAAGTTCTTCTATAAAATGGATTTTTATACAAAGCTTTTCTATAAAAATAATTTTTTATAAAAAGCTTTCCTATAAAAAGCCTTTTTTATAAAAAGCTTTTCTATAAAAAGCTTTTTTATAAAAAGCTTTTCTATAAAAAGCTTTTTTTATAAAAAGCTTTTCTATAAAAAGCTTTTTTTATAAAAAGCTTTTATATAAAAAGCTTTTTTATAAAAAGCTTTTTTATAAAAAGCTTTTCTATGAAAAGTCATTGTCCAATTAAAGGAAATAGAAGAAAGTTTTTTATAGAAAAGTTTTAAAAACAGCTTTTTTTAAGAAGCTTTTCTATAGAAAAGCTTTTTAAAATAAAAAGTTTTTCTATAAAAAGTTTTTTTTATAAAAATATTTTCTATAATAAGCTCTTCTATATAAAGTCTGCTTGACTACAAAAATAATTTCAAATACTTACAAATCAATACCAGTACTCTGCGTAACAAAAGTGGTAGTAGCCGCCTGGATAGATGTCAAAGGATAGCATAAATAGTTCTTATTCAATTCCTTAGGTATAGAAGTACGCAGACCATGACGCATAATCGGATCCTTAGTATTCAAAACTAACCAAGATTGTAATTGAGCAGAATATGAAAAGGCCTGACCGTTTGAGAACAGAATCATAGGTACACCATGTTCGGTTATGGTAAACTGTAACACCGAGCCATGTTTGCCAAAGACCTCATTGCAGGTGGTGGCTAAAACAGCCGAACAAGTGGCAATATTCCAAATGCGCAAAAGGCCACATTCGGTAATGACACCCACTAAAAGGCCCTTGGGACACTGAAAGAGAAATAAACTGATTAAAATAAAACTTTAAAAGCCTAAATAAAAGATAATTGAGAAACCTACAAAGGCACATTGTATGGCAGCTGTTGTTAGAGAGATTATTGGCATTAGGGGACTGCCGGTTTGTAAATCCAATAAACGCATGGAACCATCTAAACTACAAAGCATGACGCATTTCAAACAAAAATTGAAATTTACCACAGGGGAACCTGTTTAGAAAATTATAAAACCGTTATATTATTATATTATTTAATTAATTGGGAATAAAATTTTGTGCGGCACTCACCCACAAATGTCTCCCACAGCTTGCCGGTAGCTAAACGAAATGCTGTTACTTTGGCCAAAAGACCATTGTTAGTGGGCACACAGCCATTGCTTACGTGAACGCGATAATCTAAAGCAGTCTTTTGATATTCACACTTGGTGGTGGCGGTTATGGTGATTTTAGGGCCCATAGTAGAGGCCTGATAAGATTTTGTGGCTGAGGCAGCGTTACTGGTGGTGGCGGAGGTATTGGCATCATTGCCAAAGTGTTGTGGTGTTTGTTTAAAGTGTGGAAATGATTGAAAGTTGTCCTTGGAAACGGTAAAAGGTTCAACGCGTGGTTTGGCCGTTGAGCTTTTAACTAAACGTGAATCCAAGCGGCTGAAAACGATTTTTTTTTTGAAATTTTTATGTAGAGTCTTACAAATATTGTTTGAATATTTAAACTTACCCCCTTTCCTGATCTGTTATATTGGTTTTGGGTAGTGTGGTTGCTGAGGAGCCAGCAGCAGTAGAACTGTCTTTCATACTAGCCGAGGAAGTGGAGGCTATTACTGCCTCACCCTCTGAAGGCAAGGAGGCACTCCCCGTTACTTCTGTAGTTGCTTGACCAAAACTGCTTAAATTAGTATTCGTTGTTGTGGTAGTTTGTGCCACATCCTGATTTAAAGGTATAAACACAGGAGTTATGCGTCGTTTACCATCTTTTGTACGTGTCTCCATTTGTTTATTAATCGCTTTCATGGGTGTACTTTGTCCTATTTCCATAGCGTTTGCATTTTGTGTAGAAGTGCTGCTGCGGCTGCCATAACCAAAACCATTGGAGGCCGCTTGTGTTAAGGAGTTTTCGATGTTGTTATTGTGATTGGTAACCTGTATGGTTGGCAGTGTGGGTGGTTTTATTTTATCCTGAGTACAAGTTAAAAGTTCGGGATTTTCTATGAGTAAATCTGTGGCTGCCGTCGAGCCGTTCGTTAAAATTGCTGCTGTTTTGCCATAAATACGTTGATATAGTGAATTTTTATCCTCCTCGGAGAGAGGAGTGCCCAATTCATTTTCGGAAAATTGCAGACAAGCCACCGTGCCATCGCCACTACAGGCCATGAGTATGCATTTATCGGGACCCCAGGACAAATCTAGAATACTATCATTAAAAAGTTCATGTATCACCACCAGAGGTCTTTGCAAAGCTGTCATCCACACTGATAGAGAACGATCGCGGGAACCCACGGCCAAACAACAATACTGTTGGGGTTTTTGTGACTTGGGCGCTTGTCTTTTCAATATGGCGGTATGAAAACGTACACACGTAACAGCTTTGCGATGACCAACAAAATCCTTATCACACTTCCAGCCCTCTCGTTCTATAATTTGTGCTGTTGGTCCTCCGCCATTCATGGCATGAGCCGATACTAAGTATTGACCATCCGGGGACCAGGATAAACGTAAAATATGTGTAGTGCCACCGCACTCTTCAAAAGGTTCTGTGATTGTACTACTACAAGTCCAATCTGATGTTTTCCAGATTTTTACACTACGATCATCACTTTGTGAAGCTAAATATTTACCCACCGGATCCCAGGCAACACCCTTGACTAGACCCGTGTGTCCCTTAAGCATTGCCACCATGGCAGGAAAGTTTTGGGCGTCCCAAACAATAATCGTATTGTCAATGCTACAGCTGGCCAGCCAACGATCTTGCGGGGACCAGGCTAAGTCCAAAACATCACCAGAATGGCCGCGCAAAGTAAAAACACATTTCCAAGATTCGGGATTTTTGTGTATGCCTCCAGTGCCAAAAACACCACTGGGACCCTAGAATTAACAAAAAACTAAATTTTCAACACATTTTGAATTCCTATTCTCACACTCACCTTCGATTGCCGCCATATCATCACCAACTTATCATCCGAACAGGAGGCCAACATAAGGCCGCTTTGCGACCAGCGCACACAATTAACACACGCCAGATGATTGTCCATTTGACACAGCATTTTCGGCACATTCTCATCTAGTTCGGCTTTCTCGGATAGCACGGGTATTAGATTCCATATCACGACCCGGCCGGAATCCACTCCTTGCCCACCAGTGGCAAATTTAAGACATTCCTGATGAACATCCACAGAGAAGATTGGTTTTTCTGTAAGAAAATTTTTGAAAAAAAAAACAAAATTGAGAAAGTCATTCAACTTTGAGACAACAATTAACTTAATGGTGTGCAAGGCCTCATGTTTTACATTTTTTTTTTATTTCTCCCTTTGCCTTAATTAACACTTACCATCATGATGCACCCAACTTGGCTTTAAAAGTTTCATGTAAATAGCTTTTTCTTTAAATAAAATTTGTTAATAATTTATTGTGTTTTTAAGTTTGTTATTTTTTTGTTTTTATATAAATATTTTTAAAGTTTTCTTTATTTTTTTGCTAATATGTTGCAGCAAATTTTTGTTTAATCGCTCATTTTTTCGCTCTTTCTACGTTTTCTTTAAATCTTCTTCTTTTTACAGGTTTTGCAAATTGTTTGTGTATGCTTTTTATGAGTTCTGCTTCTTCCCGATATTTTTTGTATTTTTAGTTTTTTTTTCACGTTAATTTTAATTGTTGTAAAAATAAACAAACAATATGTTGTAAAAATTAAATACAAATAATATAATTTAAAAATATTAGAGTACAATATAGCTTTGTGGTTATTATTGTTTTATATTTTATCTGCTAGTTTTTGCCGGGTTTTTTTGTTTATGCTTTTTGCGATTTCTGTCAATGAAGAGCACAATTCTAAACAGTGTTAACAATGTTCTAAAAAATATTAAAAACTAATCTGGGAGAAAGTTTAAATAAATAAATAAAATAAATACGTAAGTATCAAATTCGACTATTCTGAATCTTCAGAATGTACATATATATATATTTTATTGGTCGCGAAATTTAATTGTAGGATTACAAGCAAAATTATATGTATAATCTTCTTACGAAGGTGAATGGTATAAAAAGCAAACAAGGCAACTCTGTGTAAAAGACACTGCTTTATCGATATATTTATATTTTGCACACCCTCATTCACTGCCATACATACCAATACAAAAAGAGTAGATGAGAAAAAAGCAAGTCGGCTGAAATTGTTGTTTAGAATGTCATTTAAAAAGAAATACCCACTGAAAAACAGCGTAAAATCATGTCAGAGCAAAACAAAATTGAATAAAAGCAACACAGAATTCCCAAAGAGCAAAAAAAAAAAAAAGAAGGCATAAAATAAAGCACAAAACAGACAAGACCAACTGAAGTGAAAAAGAAATATGTATGTAAATACAAAAGAAAAAAACTACAGCCAAGCATTTTTCGTTTGATGAAAAAATTTTTGTATTCAAAGTGATTTTCAACGTCGTTAAAACAAGAAGTGAAATTTTTTCAAACGCGCTGCCCTGTGTGTAAATAGAAAAAAAATTGTGAAAAAAAAATAAAATATCTACATTAATTTTTTTAATTACAAAAAAAGAAAATTTAAAGATTTTTTATATTAAAAAATAAAGAAAAAATAATTATTAAAAAAAAAAACTAAGAAAAAACTGCAAAAAGCTAAATATTCAAGTGTTTAAAACATTGTGAAATTTTGTATAAAACTTTTGTAAGAAAAATAAAAATCTTTTAAAAGAGTAATATTTAAATTAAATAAGGTAAGTTTTTATAAATACATATTTCAACAAAATCATTTAATTTAGTTTATTAATTAAAAATATTAGTTTTTTTTTTATTGGCTAAAATTAGTATTTAGTGTTTTCTATATGTATTTTATGTGTATATTTATATACTTCCTTTATCTAAAGTTTCCACAAAAAGTCAACTTTTCATTTTTTGGCGTTTATATACCTACAACACGAAGCAAACATATATTTGGGTATATAAATACACTACACATATGCAGTTTTATTTAATTTGTTGTTTTCTTGCTCCCTTTCACGTGTGTAAGTTTATTTGTTGTGTTTAATTCTTTTTTTTTTTCTTATATATACTTGTACTCTCCCACCTTCTCTATCCATCTTTTGGGTATATAATAGCGCTTATATTGATATATACATGCATATGTATGTATATAAGTAACAACAAAAAGCTTGTGTATACGCTTTTCTTTTGTGTACTACACAAAATTACATACTACTACGACGTTCGGCTACTAGTTGTCAATCATGTTTATACATTTGTATTTCTCTCAATTTTAATTTTTTTTGCCACATTACCATTTATTTAACAACTCTCATTTGTATTTATACTACTTCTTTTTCTTGTTTGTGTGAGAGTTTAATTTAGCTTGTTGTGCTCCTTCTATTTTTCATTTGCGTTTTTTGCGTGTATTGAAAGCAAAGCAAAAAAAAAAAAAAAACAACCAGCTGTCTGTTGGTGTTTTCTTTATTATTTTGACAACTTCAAAACAAGTATACATAACCTAACAATTTTTTACAATAGATACACAATTAATTAGATAGTTTAATTTTTTAGTTTGTATTTTATAAAAAAGTTAGAGCTGTTGTTATTAATTTTATACTTTTGATAGTTTTCTCTTGTGTGTGAAATTTGTATTGGTATTTGTTCGCTAAAAATCTGAGTTAATTTAAAATTTTAGTTTACCGAAAGTTCTATTCAGACTGCATCATACAACTTCGTTGGAAGTAGATTTGAGAATTTTTTTTCACGAAAGAATTTTCGTTAGCAAAACCAAAGTATTTTTTTAAACTACAGCAAATTCTAGTAAATTCTTCATTAAAAGAAATAAGAATTATTTTACCAAATAAAAAAGTCTTGGGACATCGGTGTTTCATATACGCGAGAGTGTTAAAACCATAAAATAAAACATAAAATACCGAATTTTTAGTTTTTCATTTATTGTAAAGGATTCGGCTTTTATAAATAATATTATATTTTACTTACAATAAACTTTTCATTCATGTTTTTCCTAAATGTTTTTTTTTTTCGTCATTTGTTTTGTTTCAAATGTATTTTTTTTTCTTCAGCAGCGTAGTATATTTTAGTACTATTTAACATTCTATTCTACTACATAGTTGCATTTCTACAAAATTTTGTGTAGATATGCCGAAATCTACTAATAAAGTATATTTGTATGATAAATCTAGTAAAAATCAACTAGATTTGTTGGAAAACTCATAAGTACAATATTTCGATTTATTACAAATGGAGTATACCTACATAGGTGTATTATTTTTCATATTTTATAGGTAATTGCCTTCCTTTTTATTGTTGTCAAGGTTTCTTCTTTTCTTTATTTATACCGACGAAGCTCTTTTGGATTTTTATTTAAAATCTCTTTTTTTTTATATAAATACATTCCAAATAAATACATACATACATATGTAGATATTTTGCGTACATCTTTTATTATATACTTAATCATTTGTTGTTGTTCCTTTTTCTCTTTCTCATATTATTTTTGGTAAACGTTTATAACTTTGTTTTGTTTTCAATATTAAAAACTTATTCTGCGTTTTACCTTGACAGTGTTTTTTTTATTATTATTTTTTTGTTGTTGCTGTTAGTCTGTTGCGTTTTAATAAAAAAAAACTCACTCTCCCTTAATGAGTGACGTTTTTCCCCTCTATAATAAATTTAGCTTGGAATTACGTGCTTTTATTACAATTCTATAAATTGTATGTAACTAAGTGATTTGGTTATTGTTGTTATCAATGACATATTATGTTAATAACATTAAATTGCTATTAATAAAAGTGAATGTTGTACCTAGTACATATGTATGTGCATTTTTGTTTAAAAACATGTTAAAGGAAATACCTAACTATGTATTTTAATTACTTTATTTAAATTTTTTGCAAATAAAAATACCTATATTTAAAACATTTTAAAGATTTCTTTTATTTATGACATAATTATGTAGTTTCACAAAATACAAAACAAATACCAACCTATCTTTCTTTATAACTGATTAAAATTTTCTGTGTAGAACCTGTACTCTCAAATTAATAAATAAGATGAAAAAAGCTTATACTTAAACACAATACCAACAAACAAACCGAAAAAAAAATCCTACTCACAACACAACAAAATCGGTATGCAAGAAATTAAGAAAACAAACTAAATAACAACACAAAACCATACATATGTACATATGTATGTATGTTGTACACAAATAAAAAGCAAAGTAAAATAATATTAAAATAAATAAGAAGAAGAAGAAGAAAAAAACCTGTCACAACAATGAATTTAGTAAAAACCACGACCTGAAAACAATAGCAATAAAGCTTAACACAGAGTAATTGCAAATAAATAGACAGACACAAAGAGTGTGAGCATTATAATAGGGGGAGTAAGTGAGGGTGTAGTGTAGTGTTAGACAAAACTAGCGCAGGCGCTGTTAATGTAAAACCCCATCATATCTATTAACTAGTTTAACAACCCTGCTATAAAAATAACAACAAAAACATTAACTTTATATACCTATATATATATATATATATGTGTTCATATCTATATATACAAAAATTATGTGAGCTATACAACAATTTGCATTTTTTGTTTTGCTAAACTTATCATTGTTTTGTTTTTTTACTCTCCCCCTTATTACTGTATTTAAGTCTCTTTTGTGGTCTCTTTTTCAAATAGAAACTTTCATATAGAATATTTGTATGTTTTTTTTTTTGTTTCTTTTTGTTTTTCTTGTGTAAAAAAAAACACCACATAGAAACTAAAAAAAAACAAATGAAATGCATTATATTTACAGTAAGCTTGATGTACTCGTTTGGTCTCTCTCTCACACGCCCGCTAGCACGATTTATTTTGTCAATTTAAAAAAGTGGTGGCCTTGTTTTTAGGGCAAAATGTTTGCTAACGAATCATTAAAAAATAAAATAAAATTTATACATACATACTAACTACAGTATGTAATTGTTAATGTTTGTGCATTTGAAAATACATACATATGTACATACTGTGAAATTCCATGAGGAACGTTGTGTGAAGTCTGGAAGAGTTCTTTCAGATGAGATCGATGTTGATGAAAACTATCAAAATAGGCATGTTCAAAATTAGCCTAAAATTACGGCTAATTCTATAACTTACATAGGTATGTATTAATAACACATCGGTAGTGTCAAACAAACGGATGTCCCTATTCAAGAGAAGAAATGCAAATTTGATATGAAAGCTTCATTTAATGGCCAAAAAAATTGTATTTTAGGAGATCGGACTATGCAGATTTAAATTGTATTGTATTGAAAGAAGTTTAAGAATACATTTTACAAAAAAAAAAAAAAATTCATAAAAAATATTGGTGGTACTTTTTGGAGACTGTTTTTCGAATGTCGAATATCGAATATATTCGACATTTAACTTTGACCTACTATAACTCACTAGGGAAGACTCAAATTCAAAAAATATTATTTTTCCCGGATTCAGCATACTCAAATTATCTTAAATATAAGTTTTCAAGTTTTTTTCTAGACATAAATTATTTTTGACCCTGAAAGGATTAATTGGAAAACTAGAAATTTTATCTAAGATTAAACTTCTTCAAAGCTATCGAAACGGTCTATGATTGAAACTTTTCCACAAAACAATCTATTAAAAATATTCTTAAGTTTGCGAAAATACATTCTGAACTTAAGGTTGAATATCAATTCTAAACGGTCTGGGCTTTTTCAAATATACAAAACAATCTTCGATTATTTTTCATAAAAGATTTCCTTTGAAGCTCTGATTTAATCTTAATTAGGACTACAGAAAGATAACCAACTGAATCTTAAATTTTACCGA